ATGAGGAAAGCAGTGAGCTCCTCTAGTGTCTGAGAAGCAGAGGAGCACCAAGCATCCGCAGAGGAGACGCTCGGGTTGCCATGTCCAAAATCGCCCACATCAGCAGATCCAGCATCAGGTGCGACGGAGGCTAGTTCCCCTACAAAAAAAGAACACGCAAGTTCCACAGAATACTTCTCTTTTAAGGCAAGCAGATGAATTTGGTGTCGGAGATTCGACTTCTAACTTAACAAAGACCTTTCAGCCCCGGTTGGACCCGAAATTCAAATAAGCTTTGGAGAAAAATGTGTTTGCCAATCTACCTTGAATTCAGGAGCGAAATAAGCAGTTTTCTTTTTCGCTCGAGTTGTGAATCTAGGACCCAGCAAAGGTGAAGTGGCCAGAGGAAAATTAAGTGATTAATGGGTTAGCTCACCAGTGGCAATGCCGAGTTAGGACACCATGGACAGAGATTGTCACATAATGTGGGCACATAGAATAATAATGCAAAATGTTTGCTCGCAAATCCTCAAGCTATGTTGTGATTACTTGTTTTGCGAAAAGGCTACTTTGGTAGGCTTGCAGCATTGGTGACCACGAAGAAGTACCTCAAACTCAACTCGTTCCGCGGCATGTTTTTCTCTGCTTAAACTTCCCTAGTCAATTATTAAGAGGTTTGGCAGATTTGCTTAACTTGAGTTGACCCAATTGTGAAAAAACTCGAGGCGTTCGGCGGGATTTGAACCCGCGTATCACAGAAGGCCTTTACCGGCGGCCAACGTTCTAACCGCTAAGCTACAAACGCCCCCAGTCAACTATAAAAATTCCATTCGAAAAGCTAATTTTCGAGAAGCATACAAAAAGCACTGAAACTAAAAGGAGGAATAGGAAAAAGTGGCTTGTTGAAAAGTCTGTGGGTAAGACATATTGTTTGAAGAAGCGTTGAAATTACGTATAATTAAACTACTCACAATAAGAGAGCAACCGTTTTTGTTTACACGTCTCGACTTGCCAACGGCCGCTTATGTATGAAATCATATGCAGCACTTCGAATGGAGCGCATGTTTCTTCAGATAACACTTCCAAAGCAATTGGAGCTTATGGAATACTCACGGGAGGATATTCGACGGTTGCGCGGGAAATAGAGGAACCGATATAATAGTTCCTGTTTCATGCTGTGCAACTCCTACGATGTCGAGTAGTTAACAAAGAGTGGGAAGGCCTTCCCTGTTGTTTTCACACAACCAATTACAACTGTAGGTGATTCTAAAGAGATGCTGCCTCTAAAACCTGCCCGTATCCTTCTAATCAGGCGATGACAAACAACTAAGGCGGTGGGTGAGAACACTAGAAATGCCCAGAAGATAGAGGCAGTCCGTTACCCAAACTGAAGGCGAACCGACGCGTCCGCGGGTGGGGGATGGAAGAGCGAAATTTAGATGAAGCCAGCAATGGAATAAGGAATCTCTTAGTGGATTGGGCTCGCTGAGCGCTGCAATATCCTATCCAACAACGTGTTTTTAGCAGTCAAAGAGTTTCGCCAGCATCCGGTTGTTAGTACAGGCTGAATAAGTCTCAACTATTGATGTCATATCGCCATCCAGCAATTCAGTCCATTCTAATGAAGTGCTTGTTCAAAAAACTGCTACACAAATTTGAC